ACAGACAACCTCTCGTCAATATGCGTTTTTTGCATTGCATTGCTGCAAAAAACGCATAAAAATTAGGTTGTAAATCAAATAACCGGTATCATATAAAAACGGAGCTAGAAAGTTGGAAAAGGAGGAAGGGCGAGGGGGACAGACGAGGGGCACGGCAAAAAAGGGGAAAAGCTAGGACTATGAGCTTAAACCTGTGGGTGGGAAATCTATAGGTTGATCCACTTGCTGAAGAAACATATACTTTTTTTAAAAATCACCTTCTAATTTCAATGAAAAATTGCTTAAAAAATTCCAAAAACACAGCAAAAACGAGAATTCCTTGGCAATTATATTTGAAAATTTATGGTGTAAAAGAGCTTCGCCGAGAAGCCATAAAGTTTCTCTCATGAAAACTCAAACCGCGACGTCAAATTCATTAACCGCAGCTTCATGACAGTGCAAAGAAACCATTCGTAAGTTATATGACTTAATGGATCGAAACATTCCTGTTCATCTAGCTTCTCAAATACCATTATTACCAGAATGAAGAAGGAGATGGAGCTAGTAACATATAAGGGATAGCTAAATGAAAAATAAAAAAAAAAAAACTGGACAGGAATGTTTTTCAGATCATAAAGTCTTTTTTTAAAACACTTTTCAGCTTCACAACTGGACCTCGTCAATAAAATGGTTGTGCTGTATTGACAGCCTGCATCGCATAGTAAAATTCTGAACGTGAGATTTAAAGCAAATGGAAAAGGAGAACAGAACCCAAACCTTATACATAAGATTTTTGAATTCTTCAACCGTTTGCACTCGATCATTATTACCGCTTTCCTCGGATACCACTGAATTTTGTCCCGTGCTTTTACTGCTTTCTGTAAATATGAAAAATAATTAAAAATAAAATCTGATAATTTTATTAGAAAAAAAAAAGTAAACAAAATGACTGCAGAGTCTCGGCAAAATCGAGAATTTATTCGTGAGTTATATGACTTAATGGACCGAAACATTCCTGCTCATCTAGCTTCACGAATATCATTATTAATATCTCTGTCACTTATGAGAGCAATGAGAATTTTCAAGAGGCAATGCAAGCATAACAACGCCCCACGTTTGCGAGCTTTTCAGTAACATCATTAACATGGGATACCCATACTGTTTGTCCGATTGGTTTTGATCTTTTTGATATAAAATAACCGGTAATAAAAAGTTATAATAAGAAGGAATGAAATAAGCAGAAAAAAAAGAGGAAAAGGGAAAGTAAGAAATGAAAAATTAGACAATTTAAGTACAAGAAATGAGATTTTTTATAATGACAAGAACTGTTTCAGTCCATTAAGTCATATACATTTCTTACCATTACCACAACTGGACTTCGTTGTCAGTACGACGACTGCGGTAAAATCACTAAACGGAATACCGAGCAGTAGCATGAGTGGTTTTGCTATTCTTGGCAATACGCCATTATGAAATGGGCCAATCATCAAGTTAGTATAGGAAAAATGATCGCAACAGTTCATTTATTTAAAAAAACCGTCCAAATTTACTGATTAATTGGTGACATTGATAAAATGATAAATTATGCACATTGATAAGGCATCAATAAAAATTCCGAAAAAACACCTGGTGTACTTCGTCCCGTCTCAGTGCCATCGTCCGTTGGATCAATTTTTGCTTTGTTACCGCTATCGTTTGTTGTTGCTGGAGCGCCATCTTGTCGTCGACTGCCCGCTGTGCTTTCCGTCATTAGAACAATCCCTCCAGAGAACGTCCTGTGAAAACGCCACCCTATAAATTTTTGCATTTTTTGCGAACTCAGTACGCCAAAGAATGTAACAAAGAACGCACAAAGTAACTCGTTGCTGAATGAAAATTATTAATTTTATGCAAAATTTTCACACTTTTCGGGTGAAAATGCAGGGAAATTTCAATGAAAAGTTGGCAATTTTCAAGAAATCTTTTAACCTAATTGAAAAAAAAAATATACATTTTCTACTTAAGAAGAATTTAGTTTCTTTTTTTGTTTTTTACCTTCATTACCTAGTTGTTTATATTTCTTTTTTTATTTTTGCATTATTTCATATATTTTTTCGGAAACCTTTTACTACCCGATATTATCTTTAAATGTTTCAGTTCAGTGAAGCATAAGGAACCCGTGAATAAAAGCTGGAAAAAGCAAAAGCAAACAAAAACCGAGAAAGCAGAACCAAGAAAAAAAAAAAACTGGCAATTCCCGAGATAATGTAGACGAAAAGCTCGATTTCCTTAGGGCCTATTTCGGACCATTCGAATGGAATTCGGCTTTTTACTTAGAACATCCCAGTAACATCATTAACATGGGACAACCGTACTGATTATCCAAGCTCTCTTGGCATTTTTAGTCTTGGAAATAACCTTGAAAGTGACCTATGTTTACGAATCCAAAAGTTACCGCCCAAACGGATATGTAACAATATATTGACAAACACGGAGGGTACGGCTTCAATACAAACACATATCAAAACCAAACACAAAATATACTGCGTATTTTTTCTATACAAAAGATGGAGGTACTCGGAAGTAGCATGAGAGGTAGAAAAAGCCAAAGGCCAATATACCAATGTACCAAATTATCATCGAAACGAATAAACGAATCATACAGGGAACTGGCCTGCCCCAGTGGGGAATTGAACCCTCGATCGGCTATTACTGCAGAACAACACTATGTCGTTTATCGCTGCACTATCCCAGTACCAATTTATCGTCGAAACGAATGAACAAAATCGCACAAAGGACTAACTTTCTCAGTGGGGAATCGAACCCTCGACCTGCTGCTGCAGCAGACAACAGTGCTGCTTACCACTGCGCTATGCCTGCTGGCAAAACGTAAAATTGCCATCAGAAACAAAGCCATACCTGTTGTGTATACAAAGCTCAGTGTTGCCCTCTGTAGTGGCCGCGATTTGGAATGTGCAACAAGAATGCTCGATGATGTTGATGGTACGAACCAGGTGTGCCACACCAACGGTAGCTGGCAATGCCAACTCCGTACTTTCACTGCTATTACACGCAAACCAACAGAAATGCACCCAATATTTATATCACCACTGTGTTACTGCTGAAAAATAACTGAGATAACTTGTGTTCACGGGCAACAGAACCCCGAGGAACACCGGGAAGCACACCGCAGAAAGACCGATCCGCTCTGAGCACCCAAATCGATAAAACTGGCAAAAAAGAAAAAAGACTCACAGACGAAAGGCGACTCGAACCCATTCCCAAAGAGGCATCCCGGGGAAACTACTCAAAATTTTCAAAAAATTCAAAATTCGAAACAAAAGATTCAAAATTCAAAGTCCTCCAGAAAAGAGGAGACTCGAACTCTGCCCCGAGGGACCCTGAAAACTATTCAAAAATTTTAAATTAAAAATAAAAAATTCAAAATTCAAAAATGCTAAAGATGTAAAAAAAATTCAAAAAATTAAGAATTCAAAACAAAAAATTTGAAGTTCAAAAATATTAAAAATTCAAAAAAAAACCAAAAAAATTCAAAACAAAAAATATTCGCCGGGAAAAAGGCAAAAAACCGAATTCCGCAACAACAAAAACTCGCGAAATCCCAGAAAAAATGCCGTGAAAAAAATTCAAAAAACTTAGGAAGAAGTTCCAAAAAGGCAAATCGAGTAAAACAAATGCCATAATCCTGAGAAATCCCAAAAGAAAATCTGCGAAAACAACGTTCTTTTCAAAACCACCAAAATTCGCAATAATTAAGAAAAAAGAGCCCCCCCCCCCGCCCCAGTAAGAAAAACAATTCAAATTTAACAGCAAAGCCCCGAGAAATCTCAGGAAAAATACTACTAAAACGCATCATCCAGTCAGTTCATGAATAATCATCAAAATTCGCAAAATTCAAGAATAATCCACCGGGAAAAAGGCAAGAACCCGAATTCAACAACAGTAAAATCCCGCAAAATCCGAGAAGAAACGTCG